TGTAACCAATCCACCACCAGATTCAGGGAGCCAGGAAAATGGCAAGCTAAGACCACAATGTGGTAACTGTGGGCTTAGACAGGATCTGAAAGCGCAGAGACCTGGAATTGGTACCCCCTGGCTCTGTGATATAAGTGGCCACCATGAAGATGTCAGACTGTACTATAATTACCCCCTTCCTTTTGTAGGAGAGGAAGGAAGTGGGACAAAGCTCAACAAACTGCCAAAGGCTCAAGAAAGATGATATGGAGAGAAGACTCCTTGATCAACCAGAAACCGGAAATTTCCCAGGAGTCAAGGTAAAAACCCCAACCCTATAAAGACGAGTCTGTGAACAGATGTAAATCCAGATGAGGTGGAATATGCAGCTCCACCACCATGGTGTGGTTTCTGTCTAACCACCAAGCCAAAGATCCGAGGTGAAGTTCCACTGATCTAGGGATATCCACCAAAGGGAATGCATATGATCCCAACCCATGGGAATGAGAGCACCCAAGAAAGCCCACATCCCCAAAGAGATAGAACCTCTCGAGCTGAAAAAAATGTGTGGTGAGGGACATGTAAACTGCTTGCTATAAACCCGGGGAGAAAGAGAAAAAGGCTGGGCCTGACTGATGTTAGAAAGAAGAACCCTCCCAAATTAATGGGGTATTGAGAGGGGGTAGGAACGGATTTCCACACCGTCATCAAGAATCCCATCTGTGCTACTTCCTGTAGGAGCAGAGGAATGTGAACAGGAAGAAACAAGCAGGAGCCAGTCATCCATAGAAAGAAGAGTGCAAAGACTTATAAAGTGAAGATGTTGGGCAAGAGTTTGTACCTCCCAACAAAACACTTAAAAAGCCAAGGTTAGTCCAAACAGTAGGGCCCTGAACTGGAAACTCATAACTTAGAGCAATAACTAACTATTGACAAAGTGGACACCTTGGGAAAGAACACCAAATTGTAGATTACAAGGAGAAAATGAGGTTTCTAGTATCAAACATAGGAAAAGGAGCCAAAGCCAAGCTCAGTCCTATGAACAGGAAAGAAATGAATACAAAGCAAAAAATTTAAGTTATACACCGAAACAAATTAGGATGATAAGGCACACAGTTACCAATGATGAAAAAAATAAATTATCCAGATAAAATGATGAATTATATGTTACTAATAGTAATGATATGTAATGTACAAACTATCTAAACATACTGAGTTAACAAAGTACTTATAAATATCAAAGGACAAACCATCTAAATTTACCTAGTCCACAAAGTATGTAATAATAACAAGCATGCAAAGCAACTACAATTACCCAGGAAACATATTAATAACTAATATCTATCTTACAATTACTATAAATTAACCCAAATGACAAAGGACATATAATTAAGTCTTACATTGGCCAAAATTTGGATGATAAGTCACATAGTTAACAATGACAAAAAAAAAACATTACTCAAATAGAACAATGAATTAGATGTTACCAGTAATAATGATATGTAACTTACAAACAGTCTAAACTTACCTAGTAAAAGTACTTATTAATAATGAACTAACAAACCCATGATATTTGCCGAATCTACAAAGTACATAATAATAATAACGAACATGCAAAACTATTAAATTTACCTAAAATAACTTAGATGACAAAGGACACATAAATATCTAACTTATCAAAGTCCAAGTACTGATGATGTGAAATAATTCTCCAGTGTGTAAATAAGGGTAAAGCCACACAAAGAGCATTGAAACTGTGCTTACCATGGGTACATCATGCAGGTGTGAAGAGTATATGTTGAAAAACTTACCACAGATCCACTGGGAGAACTGGAAGCAATAGGAAGAAAGGGAGAGAAGAACAGTTCTCCACCAAAGTGAGTGATATAATGGCATGGCAACTGGTGGAAAGTGAAAATTTCTGAAAAAGTGTAGAGTGTGATAGATCAAAATAAGAAGGTCCCAGAAAAAGAGAGTCCAAATTATCTTCTCATAGAAACATTATCACATTGAAAAGAAGAAATTGCCAGCCAAACATATGATTCTAGCTCCTTTCAAATTAAAACCTATACCTCCACTTCAGATAAGGTCAAACCAGATTCCTGGGAAGTTGTATCAATAGTGATTTCGACTGTAACAGGAATTTCCATAGTCGATACACTGATCACCAATTTCAGACTAAGATCACTGGTAATTCGGTAACAAAAAATTAATGCAAAAAAAATTTATGGAACAAGTGAATGCAAACCCAGTAAAATAAAACTGTTGAAAAAATCTGAAATGGCAAAGAAGCACGTACATAAATGGTAACCACATGCGAAAAAACACATGCCTAAACAATGCTATGCCAATCGAGAAAGTGAAGATTGAGTGGGAATAGCAGAGGAACCTAGGTGCAATACTATTGGTGGAGAGTTGTCACATGGAATGTACATGTTCATAAATGGCACGAAATTGATGGGGTATATAGACTGGTGCACTGATCAGAAAAAAATTTTAGCAATCCTTAGAGAGCATAAGAAAATTGAAATAGCTTTGTGTGAAAGAAAGTAAGGTCATATCAGAATCTACTTTCTTAAATAATCGATTATTTACACACTGATTGCATAACTTTATTTAAAGAAAAAATTAATAAGCTTAATTAAATTGCAAGAACAAGTCAGTCTTCCATACTTAACATTAATGTAAATAATGCTCAGTGGCTTCCGAAAAATTTACAATTTCCTATACCAAAGTGTATTCTTGATAATGCTTATCTCACACCATAGCTTTATCCCCACGAAAGGTTCTCTTCTTTGCCTGTCTAAGCAATGGCATGAATTCTACCTTGCTTCTACTTTTATACCTCACTCTATCACCCCTATTGATTTTAATCTTGTGATTCTCTCCACATACATCAATGCGCCCTCTATACCCAATCCGTATATAAGTTAGCCATTATTCTTTATTATTCAGTTTTTCAAGACTGGTAAGATTATCAATCCTGAACACTTGCTATCATGGGGAGGAAGGGTGTTAAAGCAAGGTAGGAGGTAAGTATTATCAGAAATACATTTTCAGTATAAGAAAATGTGAACTTCTAAAACACAACTCTGCTCAAACACTTTAGCTACAATCCCACATTGACCAGGTGGAGAAACCAGTGATGACAATATCCAAACAGAAAGCATCTGTGTAGAAAAATAGGTGTACAAATTTGAGATATAAGAAAGCACACTAGTGGAGGTCTGCACTACTTCTGGAACAGGTATGCTCTTTGTCAAGATAAAGTGAAATCTAAACGTGGGTGGTAAATGCCAACTGGCTACAGAGTCAACATTATTCATTATCATGATATTTGTCCAGGCCCCAACTCGTCATTGGAATTATAGGGCTGTAGACTCAAAGCTAGATCCAAGATGTAGTGGCTATGGCAAGGGGACCACAATATGATATAACTGTATAAAAGAAATATGACATGAAGGGAACCCAACATGAAAGTTACAGTATGTTGCATGTCGAGCCATCAGAATTACAAAGAGAAGGCAAGCCACACCTAAGTGGACAAACCCTTATTCCAACCTGAAGAAGCACAAAATACAACCAACCAAACTCGGAATTACGGGCCCAAGCACTCAACCTGAAAGTTACAGAATGTTGCATGCGAGCCACCAGAATTACAAAGAGAAGGCAAGCAACATCCAAACAGAGAAGTCTTCCCCACAATCTGAAGAAGCTCAGAATGCAACAAACCAAACCTGGAATTACGGAGCCAATTCACATCTCACTGAACCTGAACAAACAGAGATCACCCAGCTTGGGATTGTGAACTGAAATCGTAACTCTTCAACCTGGGAGGCAATGGAAATACCTCCTGTCCCTAGAATTACAAGGAGGATGTGGAACAAACGAAGTTCAAACAATGGCTCATGGATGTGATGCTTTGTGTGTGGAATTACAAGGAGATGAGCACCCTGTTTCATGATCGTGGAAAGAAAGAGAATGACCAAAAAGAAGGACCAAGCTCACACAACCAAATAAAAAAGTGTCATCTCTGAACCTGTATTACAAAGAAGTTCCTGCATAGGCTGGACCGGCTCCCCACCTGACATCTGGGAAAACCATCCAGGGTTAAGGGGGAGAGAGTAACCAGCTTTGCCCTCTTCTCCTTGAGTGGAATAAAGAGTACAAACATCACTCAGGAGGAATAGACCTCAGTCCACTGCTCCAGTGACTGGAAACTGAGAGTGGTAAAGACTAACTTGCTCAAATAGAAAAGAGGGGGGAACTCACGTTGGGGAATCCTGAGGACTGGTCAAGTCACCAGATGAAGGATGTGTGGATTTCTGTGCAATTAGACTGTTGAAACAGGCATTGGGAAGCTGTTGCTTTTGTCCACTACCTAGATTATGGAAGGCAGGGCATGGAGTAGTGGTGTGTTTTTGACATGACACCCTTACGATGGAACCTTCTGCAAGTGAAATTATACTGCAGGGCTACTGTCAAACTGCACAGACATCAAATAAAGCATGACCAGAAGTGCAACATGTACTGTGACAACATAACAAGGCTCCAAAATCATATTAATATATCATACTCCACCTTTGTAGATCAGCTCCCTCGTGTGTCATTCACATAAACATAGATCCTGTTCAATTACTACACTGTCAAGATATTCCTATGGATACATGAAATTATTCATTCAGAAAAAAAATTATCATTTAAGAAAACTATCTCAAAATAAAAGATACTAACTAATTATTGTTTTATACAAAACCATATCAAGAAAAAAAAGTAAAGACTCTTAAATCAGAGTAAAGTATAGAAATTGGAAATGAAAATTACATAATAGCAAGGTATAACATTTTAATCAAGTAAACATATATACATAAATGAAAGCTTAAAAGTTCAACCTCTCAGTGGTTGATAAAGCCTGATCTTATTTGCTTTATATTAAATATTTAATAACATATATTAAAATTCAACAGTCCATTCATATAAAACAACTAACATTGTTTTTCAAAAATCTGAGTGCATCATACCTTCTTTTACTAATTCCTTTTTCTTCTCTAGATCATGTCTTTTTTCAGCAATTATTCCACAAAGATGGGCAGCTTTTGCAAGCCTCCACAATATCTCTGCTTTGTTTTTAAACTGTAAGAAAAAGAACAGTAAATGTCACAAAAATTAAATCCTAGTTTCCTGCATTATTTATTTAACAAAGTCTTTAAAATAAATAACTTATAAGCCAAAACGGAGATTACATTAAATATGTTTTTCTTTAGGGCTAAAAGGTGAATTGATTTTGGAGTTTCTGGCAACTAGATTTCACAGGCTAGTTCTCTTTTAATTGCAGGATCAGTACAATTAACAATTTTGAGCCATCTGTCTCTCAAAATACTGAACTGACTGTTATCTTCTGCTTTCTAGAAGGCTATCACCATCCATTACTTTATGGCATTTTGTGTCGATAAGTTAGAATCCTCCAAGCATTTGTTTGGCCTGTAAAGTATATTCATGAGAAACATTCATTTAATTTTTCTATCATACAGTAAAATTAAAACTTTGGAAGTTAACTAGTGATTTTAATCAGCCACATTACCTATTACTAAGATGATGTTTTAACAAAATAATCCTAACCTCTGCTTTTCTTGCAAACAGCACTGTATAAGCCTCTTCTTTCTGAGAAGCATCCCCATCCAACATTAGGTCAATTTCTTCAATCCAATCTGCATCGCTCTTAATCTCATCCTTGGCTTGGTCAAATGGCTTACTAACTGTGGCCCATGAATCAAGACCTTCTTCTCTAATGATAATAATGAAAAAAATGGGATGTAATTTAACCAAAACTGTTAATGTGTTCCCAAATTTATCCACAAAAAGCTTTGAAGACATTATAAAAATGAAATTTACAAATTTATTTTCTAAATGATGTCTTTAAAAACCTTTTGACAAATTTCAGCTATGCATTCAAATGTAAAGTGAACCTGAATAATGACACTTTAAAATTATTATTTTAATTATTTTTTTACAAAAATTGTGGTACTAGAACAAAAATTATTGATAAATGACTTCATCATTAAATGTTACAGTAATAAATGTGTTGTGTCATAATGGGATTAATGTAACTACCGAGATTCTTTAAGCTTTGATTTAATCTATTTTTTTATTTACAGTGAATTCATGCCCGAAGTGATGTGTTCTATGCATTAATGAAACCAAAGTTACAGAAAAGGTGATACTGAAAAGAAAAAATATTATTTTAAACACTACTGAAAATTCCTGGAAAATGTGTATTTATCCTGCCATTTCTTTCTACCTCCAATCCAATTTTATATCATTTTCTTCCTTCTCTACCAGATCTTTACCTAATATAATATAATTATTAAGATTTAATAAGAAATGTGATTAAAATTCTTTTTAGATTAAGATATAGAACAAATATTTTGTGTATTGTCATAAAAGCCTAACAAATTATGCTGTGTATTGTTTATTTCATGCCAGCTTTAGTTATTTCTGGTAGTAAATTCCATCACTGAAAACAGAAATAAAAAATTAATAATAGGTTTATTATTTTTAAGGCTTTGCCTCAGGCTTCTTTTATATGATGATCACACTAACGATTACCAAATTCTCAAAATAAAAAAAACTGGGAGACTTTTTCTCATCAGGTGTGACACTGTAACAGCTCTGAAACAGAAAGTTATACACTTTTTTACTATTCGCTAAATAATCTGATGTTTACTGCATGATGATTTAAAACCACAAACAAAAATAATTTGTTAAAAGCTTATGTAGTTAAAATATAATAAATGAAAAATACACCTAAGTTATTTGAAACCTGTTCAAAAGAAAAATGTTACTTCTTCATTTTCTTTTTTTTTGTGATTGGGCAGGTCATCAAATCTCAATTCCTGTGGTTGTCCAATGATGGGTATGGTAAGAAAATGTAACTACCGAGATTCTTTAAGCTTTGATTTAATCTATTTTTTTATTGATAAGAAAATGTGGTATAATGGAAAGGAACGCTATACTGCATAATCTCTTATCAAGTAACTTTCCAAGTAAAATTTAGAGGAGCCATGTATAATATTAATAACAAACTATACTATCAAGCTTATGTTAAGGTACAGAGAAACTTTCATACATTTACTGTTTCTGATCAGGACAGTAAAAAAAAAAGGCTAAAATCTGGGACATCTAAAAACCCTAATCACACTAAAAATATTTGGGTATCTGAAATTTAACTCATATGTGTCTAATCTACAGACTACACTGTCTTGTGAGAAATAATAGTTAAAACCTCCATAATATTTTTGCTTATGTTTCTCAAAGTTTTAACAGTTGAGGTGGAGAGGGGGGGGGCATTTTCTAAACAGCTTAATATTCACAAATTATCTACTTCAATTTTGAACTTCAAAACGCAACATTAAAAAATAACTTGATTAAAGTTTAAACAAAAGTCATTCATCTTGGTGTTTATAAATATACGTTTTAAAACTGACAAGGAATATGAAGCTTCTTTTTCAATTATTTTATTCTAGTGAGTTTCAACTTACGCATCAGTAAAATCATAATATACTTCATCTGTCTCGTCTGAGGCTGAACTGTTTCCTGAAAGAAGATGACAGTGAGATAGGACACTTCTTTTATCACTCGTCTTTTCAAGTTTTACGCTTATGCTTGAGACGGAACTCGGTGGAGCTGCAGCTATTGATTGTATTGCTAGAGGAGTGTGACTGCTTTGGTCTAAATGGTTGGCTTTTAATTCCTCGATCTCCCGTTTTAAACTTTCAATAGTACCAGCTAAATTAGATAACTCTTGCGTGACACTCCTATTAAGTTTGTAGTACATATAAATCCCGCTGACACCTACAACGACTCCTGCACCTAAAGCTGCTATTACTGTCCATCTATCTCTCAAAACTGCCTCCATATTTTATTCTATTTTTCCTCAAATCATCCAACACTACGATGTCCTAACACACTACTATTTACATTTAATACCCGTAACAACATAGTCATATCCATACACTAAACAAACCACATCGACAATTCAATTACTCCAGGAGAGGGCGCCTAAACCCCATAATATTTTCTTCCATCTAATTTTTACGTGAAAAATACTGCAATTAGGCCTCAAAGTAAAATAGGTATTTTTCATATTTTGTAGTTAGCAATATTATTTCATATCTTATATAATTTCAGTGAATATGTTGTACTTAATGTTTTATTTTCTCAAAAAAAAATCAATGGAGTTTAATCTAATTTTGATTACATAAGAACGAGCAGGCTGAATATTTTGACTCATCGAAGTAATCTGTTTTATATAAAACAACAAATACTAAAACAGAAAGCCATTATATGCGTCATCACATTTCACTCTTCCCAGTTAAAATTGTCCCCCAATGGCACAGCGGTATGTCTGCGAACTTACAACACTAAAAACCGGGTGTTTCGATACCTGTGGTGAACAGAGCACAGATAGTCTATTGTGTAACTTTGTGCTTAACTTCAAATAAACAAACAAATCCCAGTTAAACCCTGTAAGAAATGTGAATATACGTATTGTTACGACAGCGGAAGTCACGTGACTCTGGTAACATGTGATAAGATTCTAGAAAAGTCGGGAAACCTCACGAACTTCCCACCGTTTTGCTAGACGCCCTCTATTTTAGTATATAAGCCGGCAGATAAATAGATAACAGGGGATAATCGAGTCAAACCGTAAGTGAAGTGTGTAAATCATTGTGAATTATAGCGTGTGTTTAAGTTAAAGTGACTGTGGAAATCCTATGTATTGTAAAGTTGTATTTACGAATAATAAACTTGTTATATTTAAGAAATGATTTGTATCGCTGAAGTTCCTCGGGAAGAATTTTTACGGGAAATTAACAAACCACCAGAGACGTAACAAACTGGTATCACAAGTGGGATGGAAAAGAAAAAAAGAAGATAGAAACGAGTAGTGGCAAATCAAACTACAGCTTAGCAGATTGGATGGCAGAAATACAAGAACAGCAAAAGAAACAAGAAGAACGAGAAAATAAACAAGAAGAGAAATTACAGTAGTTGTTGGAGGAAAAAGAAAAGAAACAAGAAGAGATACAGCAGCAGTAGCAAGAAAACCTGCAACAGTGGCAGCTCGAAGAGCAAAATAAACAAGAGAGATTACAGCAGTTGTTGGTGGAAAAAGAAAAGAAACAAGAAGAGAGATTACAGCAATTGTTGGAGAAAAAGAAAATAAACAAGAAGAGAGATTACAGCAGTGGCAACTGGAACAAGAAAGGAAACAGGAAGAAAGTCTCCAACAGTTGCAGGAAAGTCAGCAGCAACTACAGGAAAGTCAACAACAGTGGCAAGAAGTACAAATGGAAAACATTAGCAAATACATTAAAGGATGATTTACTGTCTTTTACACAAGGAGGATATATTAGAATTCGATACAAAGGCACCATGGGAAGCATATAGAGCACAATTTGAGCTCCTGGCAGAAATGAATGGATGGACAGAGGAGCAGAAAGCAGTATATCTGGCAACTAGCTTGAAGGGAAAACCACTAGAAATACTTGGACAGTTGTCAGCAGACGACAGGCACAATTATAGAGCACTGGTAGCGGCTCTAGAACTCAGGTACGGAACCCAAAATCAGTCTGAAAGCTACAGGGCTAGGTTTAGGACGAGAGTCCGTGCTAAAGGGGAGAGCCTGCAAGAGCTGGCACAGGACTTGGAAAGTATGGCATACAAGGCCTACCCAACTGCACCACCCGATCTCCTCAAGTTGTTGCTGAGGGATCAGTTTGTAGATGCCTTGGACAGTCCACAACTGAAAATACAAGTGAAGCAAGCACACCCCTCTATTATGCAGGATGCAATGGCCAGAGCTCTTGAATTTGAATCCTACGTTAAGTCCAGCACAGAGGTATCAAGGTTGGTACAATCGTCAGGATTCAAGGCCAGAAAAGGGCAGCTTTCAGAGAAGTTTGAGGGACTTTGCTGGCGCTGTAACGAACCTGGGCACAAGAGAACTCAATACCGGCAACTTCAACACAGGAAAGATGGC